GCCTGATTTACTCAATAATTACTCCTTTATTATAAATAATAGAAAAAAATGGTTCAGGACTTTTCGACTCAGTTTTATTCCTTCTATCTGCCTACGAGAGATTGTACGGCTATTCTGGGACACCCTGTATATATATATATATATATGTATAGTATATTGTAAATTTTATATATTTTTTTTACATTTCCACATTTTCATAATCACTCATTATCTGCATCATAAACTACATTCAGAGATACCTCACTATTTGGTCGATATAGTGTGTTTGGTCTGAGTCATTATATTGTTTCTTACACACGACCACTCTAGAGTGATCCTATATTTACAAGAAAAAAATAGTTTCTTTTTCTTCAATGTTTTAACTTTATTATTGCTGGAAGTAGTTCAGAAAGAGTAACGATATTTAATTGAGCGATATTTATATGTATGTATATGTAAACGTGTGATCTCTCTTTCTTCAAGCACTTTATATAAAGTAAAAACTCGCAAAATAAAAAATACGAACATATATTTGGTTCATAACATGTATAAATTATTTCGTCTGCGATAAGAATCCCTAAATATGCATCAATATATATATAGTTATTTGGAATACTTATGATATATATATATATACTTTGGAGGAAATACATGTCTCTAACATGTCAAACTCTTCACAACACAAAGTTAAACATTCAACAGGAAATTGATGTTCCAAAACACAACTTAATTGTACATAAATAAGATTTTAAGCCGCCTTGCTCTTTGTTGAGAGTCTCGTTGCTAAGGAATAAGCGTGTGGAAAATTGTGTACTATCAAGTACAATACTCCCAAGTACAAAGTTATTCCGAAAGTTAAAATGAGATCAAACACAGCCGGTTTTACACTGCAACAGAATAACAACAATTGACATTCACACATTCGATACCATATTTTCATTGCATGTTGTACGCACTACGCGCGCACGTATAAAGAGCTGTTATGTATAATTTACCTATATACATTCAGATTTGCTTTCGCAACGTCGTAGAATACAAATTCTGGATCTCGCTTATCGGGAACATGAAGAGTAACCTTAACATCTCCCAAGTATCTCGCCATTGCTTCTTTCAAAGTACCGATCAGTAAATTATTTTTGTCCACCAACAGTGACGCTGCTCTTGGTTGAGAAGAAAAATAATTGAACCACAACGCGAGAGACTCTTTCGATACCTCCTGTAGAAAAGAAAAATTATTTTCTCCGCATAAATTTGCAGAGATAAGCGTGATTTCTAAAAATGTAAAAATTCAGCCGATGATCGTACCAGCGAACCAGTGAAGATCTGACTAGAACTTAAGTTATATATATGCCGCGCCAATGCCTCTGATACGATTTTAGTATGTTTGTACAATCTATCTACTTGTCCTTCTTTAATAACATCTAATATAGTAGCTCTGAGCGGATCTTCGTGACTCTTTAATGTGGACAAGGTCGCGGCCGGTAATCTCCGAATGCTATATCTCTCGTGTTCCCAGGCAAGTATTTCTTCCGCGAGATTTATCTTTTTATGCACTCCTTCAACGCTACTGATATTCAGGTACTGCGATACCGCTTTAAGCTCTTTGTAGAAAAGACCACCTGACGAATTCTCTTTAGGCGGCTTTGACACATGCATGAATAGATCGTCGCTTGCAGAAACTGTGTCAAGGCATATCACGTAAGCCGCATCCTGAAGTAACAAATATAATATCGACAAATATAATAGCATGTGTAAGTGTAAATATTATATTGTAAACATTATATTATTATATTTATACACAATCGCATTACTTGTATAACAGAGCCCTCAGTTCCATCTAACTGATCTTCAAGCCACTTCTTACTGCCTTGATAATTTAATTTACCCGCTCCAGTTGCTATAAACACAAGATTGAATTGCGGCCTTGATCGAGCTGCGGAGTACAGAGCGGAGAACAATCTTGCTAATTCCAACAGCATAGCTATACCGGAAGCATTGCTGTCCGCACCAAATGACAATTCCTACAGTGAAGTATCGTTACGTTTGAGCGCATGTCAGGCTTTGCTAGTATCAAGAAACATATTAAATTCATTACTCACAGGTGCTACACCAAAGCTATCGTAATGCGTTACTATCGCAATAGTGGGCAATTTCTCCTCGACGCCAGTTCCAGCCAGTTTGCCATGTAATGTGACAACTTTAACGTCCGTTTTAGGAAGCGCCTGTGCAGTGGCTACCACCACCTGGTAACCGCTAGCGGAAATCGAATTGAACATCGCCTCCACTGCAGTACCAGCTTTCTCATCGGTGATAAAGCTGTCATTAATGTCGGTCAGAATTATCTCGAGATTTGGATGCCATTTTGCGAAGTATACCGGTATCATTGTCTCAGATCCATGCATCATGGACTCTTCCAGAGTTATAATTTTCTGAAACAAGTGATATATATATATATATATATAAATGATAATGTGTCTTGTAATCAATTCAGTTTGAATTGTTTTTAAAATGCATCAAACCTATACACCGTTTCCATTACCAACCTGGTATTCCTCTGATGTAAGTTCATTTATTTTCTCGGGTAGGACAATCACCAATGCACCAGCCTTGCTTTTGACCAGCTGGAAGACAGACGGTGTGATATCTAGAGCTTTCGCGATAACACAATGCCTGTAGGTGCTCCATCCGGTCAACGATCTCGCCTCTAGGGAAATGGGCGCACTTCGGCAACCTGGTGGGACATCATCATCGTTTATTTAGGAACTGCGCGACTTTCAAACAGATCATCACAGACAGTAATAACGATTTACCGTGTGGAATCCCGTGCAGATCGTACTGGTGCATACGATACACCGGGAACTCGTGTGAGGCAGCCACGGGATTAACCGGGGAAATGATAATGAAGATCGGTAAGACTATTAGCAAATAGTACGGCAAATATCCCCGACACAGCTCGGCGAAACTGTCACACTCCTCCAGCCACATATTTCCGCGAAAAGAAACGTACTATTGATTCAAAGACAGATGCAATTTTCGCATAATTTCATTAGACTAACCCTATCGACAGAGGCATCCGATACTCACCCGCAAGTAATGAATCCCGTTTTCTCATGTCGGGTTAGGTTAGGTTAGATATGATCAAGTATGACTGGCGAGAATGAGAGAGAGGGAGAAAGAGAGAGCGTTTCTTCTTGTTTCGCCCTACTCTGTGAACAGAATTTATATTTGTCATCTTGCATTACTTGCTTTTCAATTCCACGAGTCTATTTCATAACGCATGCTTTACATTATTATTCCAAAACAGCGCGTTTTACGTTCTTGTCTTTTGCAAATAAACATGTTATTTATTTTATTTAAATCAGTAGTATTTTTATATTTTTGTTTTTCTTTTCCCTCCTAAAATAAATTTATGTAGGAATAGAATGTGCGAAAAGTAGGCTCTTATCGAATATCAATTCGATTCGATACTCGCATTTCGATTACTTCAACGTGATTGGTGCGCTGTTCCGACTTCGAGAATCGCAATATCGCCTCGATACATTTCGAAACGGCCGCCATTTCAGTTCGCGCCGCGGCACGCGGCACTGGCTGTGTCGCGTTGCGGATGTAAGTTGCAAGTTTTTTTTTTCGAAATATCGTGCGAAATTCGTCAAAAACGCAACGAGAGTGTTATGCATTGTTGTGCAAGTTGTTGTTTTGTGAAAAATCGCGATCCGACGTAATATTCCGCGAGTTTCGCGTTGATCGTGTACGTGTCGCGTTGGTGTCTCGCCGAAATGCAGCGAAAGCCCGAAGAAATATCATTTCATCACTAAGTATGTGTATTCTTGATTATACATATTATACATTATATCAATATATTCTTGTCTCTATGAGCGACAACGTCTCTTCTATTTCAAAAGTGTCTGCGGCCAGGCCTATAAAAGAATGCGCGCTTAAACATGAAACGGACCGCAGCCAATGTGTAATTGCTTTTCCGCCCTCTAAGCCGGCGCAATGTCCATGGGTGACGCACATTGGCAACTACGTAGCATGTCCATGAACGACTTGTCGGTACGTACGTTATTATGTTCAAACGTGGATATAGTTCTATTTCGCGCTATATCCACGATGTACGGTTCTATTCTGTTCACATCCTGACAAATTAAGCCTCTTGCACAGTGGAAGAAATAGCGATAGCTATAGAAATATAACACCAGTTTTAAAGAGTTTATATTTATAAATAACGGTAGAAACAGCGCAATCTAGCAACATACAAAAATACACATGTATCAATGCAGATCAAAAAACGAAATAAGCAATAGCGATAAATTTTCCGACGAGTTGAAATTCCGTGTCTATTGCTTATCGCTATCACTATTCCCTCGCATTGTGCAAGAGGCTTTAAGTTTACATTTTGACCAATTAGGTTCACACTTTGATCGACTAGGTTTCGCTCTCAGTCTTCTTTCTGGTAGCAATAACATGTGCTATACATATTTTGCTTCTGTAAAAAACGCAAAAACACTCATTATATACAATATTATAATGTATAATCTAAAATATTTTTTATACATTCTTTCTGTCTTCTCTTTCTTTTTCTCGCGCGCGCAATTCGAGTAGACGAACCGCGGAGAATTTCATTTCGCAGTTTGCAACATTACCGACAGCTGAGTACAATTGTATCGGCAATTGTACTTGATAACTTGTCAATTGAACATTTGTACTGTAGATGGCAGCACAATATTGAAAGAAGTGAATAACTTTTCAGAATCGAAATTCTCCTCTTATCATGAATAAGATTAAAAAATATCGTTACTTTGTTTCTCTCGCGAGAGTAGCATATGCATAATGAAAAAACATAAAAATAAAAAGTGAATAAAATAACGCCTGACCAAAACCAAATGTCAGATAACCCGACACCAGAAATTATAATTTCCGCCTCGCCAAAAACAAATATCAAAAAATCCAATAGCGGAAATTATAATTTTCACTTGGCCAAAACCAAATGTCGAATTATCCATCAGTAGGAATTAGAATTTGTGCAATGAAATCTGCCAATTTCGGCAAATGTCGACAACTTTGAAAAGGCAACTATAAGGTGACCGCAAAAAGGTCGACTATGAGTTGACAATCAGTCACTTGTGTTGTGTGAGTACATAGTATATAAATATATACAGATATTTTCATTGTAATATAAATGTGTCAAAATAAGAGTATATGCTTTAAGTTTTTTCTGATATTATATACTACGAAACATTCTTTTGAAAAAAACTATCGTTCCTCTTGACTTAAACGTTTGTCGTAGTACGTGTAATTCAAGAATTAAGTAAGTACAATTTTTCGTTTGTTTTTTTTTTTTTTTTTGATTTAACGAAATATAAAAATGTTACACCGCGAAATATATAAAATATATATTAAAATATTACTTTTTCTTCCCTTTGCCATTTTTATGCTCAATAAAAATTTCTCAATAAGAATTTCTCAACAAGATCGGGAAATGTATCACGCAGACATAAAAGGACTCGTATTGAGTTGAGGGGGTCCTTAACGGGAGTCGAAATCGCGGTTGGTAAGGTATATATATGTACATGGGGGCACGCTGCATTCTCGTTCGGACCCCCGTTGTCATCGACAATGCGTCCTTCAATGGCACCTAATTCGCAACAATGGCCGTAGCAGCCATATATTAATGATCCGTGCCCGTATATATATATACTCCCGACATTATAGATTGTCCTAGAGGATTGTCCTCTATCGTGCGCGCTGATGTTAGAGCAGCAGCCACGAATTCCAAGTGGCGCGAGCGCGTGGATTCTCGATCAAACGTGTGTACGCGTGGCTTCCATGTTTTGTATGTGTGTGTACGCTATGTACATACGTATACACGAACAAGTCCTTGTTTGCACATTTGCGTGCGTGTGTCGTCGGAAGCGCAGCATCCCGGACGTGCGTCCTGCGTCTCTTCTCCTCTCTCTCTCTCTCTCTCTCTCTCTCTCGACATGTATCCGTGCAGATGCGACTCAATTTCGTGGATGACAAATCGCACCCGTAACGCTCTGTCAGGCGACGATTAAAGGGCGCGGCCCCCGGAATTTAATGGCGCGTCCTGATTTCGATTAGGGTGAGAATATAGACCGGTTTATGAATAATAATAACGTGTGTTACGCCGTCGTTCTTGGGTGAAAAAAAATTAAGACGCCCGCTGCGAGTGACACCGTGATGGGATTTTATTAAAACTATTCTTGTTATTCGATTAATTTATCACGACCTAATGCGGTGATGATACGACGCGATAACGGGCACATTTGCTCGAAAAAGGAAGTGCGTAGGAAATAACGATTTTATTAAGAGTTAAAAGTTATCACACAAGATATACAAGTATATCTTATATTGTAATGATTAATATTACTCATAAAGTGTGTTATAAATATTTTTATTATATTTTTTTTTCAAAGAACAAAATTTATTTACTGATCATAATTATGACAAGAAGTTTGAATTGCGTTCGACGCATTGATTACGAATTGCTCGTGTCAGAATGACATATATATGTACATCTAAATATACCGCTATATTTATGTTTAAAACTTGAAAGGAAGGTTGCCCGTGCTTGTAACCGGGAGTTTCCGTAATTAACGAGTGGCGATTAAATGTCTAATGCCAGGTTAGTGCGCCAGGATCAGATCTTGCTCCATACATACACCCTTGCCTCGGTTGCCGCTAATCGATACCTCGTTACGATATATTAAAACGCATTTTTTGACCGCGCTGATAGACTGTTTAGAATCGCGCGCTGGTAAATCTTGCGCGAGCAAGGAGCCGCGTTCAGCAATTATCGCTCTAATTATTAGCGATCGGAATTACAGCGATTCTCGCGGGAACTATCATTAACGGGTTGCGATAACGAGTTTTCCGCGCAATTATGTAAATATTCCGATTTAGTTATACGCAATGAATTATACGCGCGCCGGGGTTCTCCATGTGAAGCGGCGCGACCGCTTTACTCGCGCGCGTCGTCTCGCGCCGATTTGTCATACACAGAAAACGGTTATTAGATCTTCACACGCGATTTGTAAAATAACCGGACCGATGCGTCAAACCGCGCGGGTTTCTTTGAATTATCTTAATCTAAATTGGATAATCTCGCCGCGCACAATTACGCTTAATAATCATGCGATATCGCTCAAAACACACGTATTTTGTGCACATTCGGTGATGTGGAGAAATGCTAACATCTAAGAAACTGGTCGAACGACCCAAGCGCAGCACACCGCTTTCAGTTAGTTTCAATCGCTTTCCAACGTACACGCATTTCTAAGTTTTATTCGACACGAAACGTGTGTGTGTTACTTACACGTGTATAATTGTTTTTTCTCGATATCTTTTTTTTACAATTACATCAAGTAGATAGAAATCGACAGATTATCTTAATCGAAAGATTGTTTTAATTTATTAGTGATCTGGCCAATAAATTGTCAGTAACTTTATAAACTTGTTTTGGCGATTAAAAATCATGTGTTAAAAATTTCTTAAAATATTTTTTTCTAATATATATAAAGTCAAAAAATTTAGAAAAGCTTTGTGAGAACTAGCCGAAACTTTTGTTATTATCTAGTCTCTTTTAAATTGGCTATTTATGTCTCAGACGACAAATCGTCGACTCGCCCTAACTATCTCTCTACGTTGGAATTGCGAATGCGTGCCAACGGAATGTTTTTGCCTTCAATTCGGCGACGTTATCGGCGTTATCGCGGAATTTATAACCCGGTGGAGAAAACCGAGAGGGTAATACCCCAGGGAAAAACACGCCTATTCGACGTATACGCGTGAATCCAAATCCGGGTTCCCGGAGAGGGTGATCTTATCTGCTTCCCTATTAAGTAACATCGCGACTCTACCAATCCACACACTTTTCTTACTGCGTCCGGCCGCGATATAGATTGCGTGCGCGCGCGTGCGTGAGCGCTCTGACAAATGGCGACTCACATTAATTTAGATAACCCGCGATTAGGTCGCCAGCGCCGTGAACCTTCTCGCTGTGTGCGCAACTGTAAACGCGCGAGATTAGTGAACTCCCGATGCGGACTCTTATCGGGTATCAAACGGACATCCGATAACGCGAGAGCGCGTTCGACAGTATATAATTTTGTACTCCAGCCTCCACGAAAATAATTAATCGATGAATGGAAC